CTTCAACAGCCATTGTTATGGAAATTATTTCCAACGTTATCCTGTCTGAACACACACTGTGGGATGACATTAACTATACAAGCAGTTTATAGGCAAGTATCATCTTACAAGTCATGGAAGGTGGGCAGACGTGCTTCCTGCCTGAATCATGATTCAGGGGAAAATTGTGAAACGATTAATCACATATGATAAGGCCTATCTGTTATCTTTTACAACGGTTTTATTACCATAATGTTGAAGATTCTGGTTATTTTAAACACGTAAACAGCATAATGAAATCTGTACAATCAAAATTGGATCACAAGAGATGCTTGAATTTTCAAAATTCTTTTAAGTATAGATCAGTAGAAAAGCTGATACAATAGGCAAAAAATGCAATTTTGAAAAGAATCCTGTCTCACAGGGGGAGCCTATTCTACACTGCATGGCCATAAACTTACAGACAAATTGTACAGTAAATCTCAAACTCAACAAATATCGTTCAAGACAATTTTCTTGATTGTCCTGACAGAATCCAATTGACTGTGGGAGATATTGGCAATCTGTTTGTCTCAAACAACAGACACTTCTAACTGACAAATATGTGATGATGTTCTTGACTTCCTGTTAATGAGCTTTCACTGTTATTGGTGTCCAACATGAAAAGGCTTGAAACCTTCTTCTTAAATTGTTTTCTACCTTCAAGTTCTAAACAGCTCCAATTGACATCTTCTGTCATAAATCAGACATCAAATGCTTAAGGTGACCATGCCCCATACTGCGGATCATCAAGGATCCCCAGTGCTTCAAGTGAAACATTCACCGTAATTGGAGTCTATCAAAAACAGACTTGAAAATTCTTTCTGCTTGAATTGTTTTTAACCTGTTTCTAGTGGGCGTGTATGGTTTTTTGTCGCTTTTAGCAATTTTTCATCAATATAAGGGCGGGGGACACCAGAAATGGGCTTCACACATTGTACCCATGTACAAACCCGGGTCTTTGGCGTGATGAGTGAACAACGCTTTAACAACCCCACAACCCCTAACCTGTTAAGCTCCAAATAACATTCACTGACCTACAATCGAAAATAAGAGACCACATGCTTAAACTGAGCATCTGACCATTGAGGTCGCCAGGATTTTGAATTGATAAGGTATCACTGTTATAAGTATCTATCATAAACAGGCTTGAAAACTTCTTCTGCTTTAAACATTGTTTTTAATAGCTGCAAAAAACATCTACTGACCAACAGTCTAAAATCAGAGACCATATCGACCCTTCTGACCATCGAGGGTTGCCAGGACTTAAGGTTATAGGTGTCTAACATAAACAGGCTTGAAAACTTCATCTGCTGTTTCCACCTTGAAGATGGAAACAGTTTGAAGCTACGTAGCCACTACTGAACCTCATCTTTCAAATGATCATTCCTCCTGACCAGTGAGACGTCAAACACAAAAGACTTATTGTCATCCCCCAGTAAACAGAGGCACACCTCTCTACATTACATGAACCAACAGCATTGTCAACACCTAATACGCAGAATCATTCGAGTCCGTCAAGCTAGCACAACAACATACGCTGTTATCTTCCCTGTAAACAACAACATGGAGGGAGCCCCATAAACCTGCCTTCACTCAAACTTCCTGTTCCAAATATGTTAACATGACAGGTAGGATTTAGGCTTAAACTCAGGAAATACACCTTGGCTTGTCTTTTGTTTCTAAAGGTAAATCTCTTTTCAAATATTGGCCGAGTTTTTCTTTGAAAGTGGACACTGTCAGAAAATACAAATGGCTGCAACACAGTCGTGTGTTTGGTGGGTTGAGTGTTTGTAAAGGTTGCAATGTCAAGTCTAAAAAAGAACTGCCATGAAATGAGTGTACGGGTTTCTTAACAGCACTGATTGAATTGAAGCTAAACCCTGGGGGACTGCTGTTACACAATAGGTGCAGTTGTGTGCATGCGTACCTCTGATCCTTCAAAACTATTTCTTTGTGAGTTGACAGGTATTAAAAGTGGTGAACAAACGATCTATTGGCATAGGTGTGTTTGATTACTGACTTCAAGGAATTCACATAAACCACATAAACCCACATCATAAAATCAAAGTCAGTGCATTTGGTGTTTTGCATCTCCAGGAGAACCTCACTTATTTAAACCTTTAACTCAAATTATCATTTGATGTCCTGTCAGATTCCCTATCTGCACAATGGTCTGATATGAGCACTCTGCTAAGCTAAACTATGAACTCGATCTGCTTAGCTCAACTTTGAACAACTCAACCTGCTTAATTAAACTAAGATAAAATTGATCGGCTAAAGTAAACTATGAACTCCATTTGCTTAGATCAACTATGAACACAACCTGTTTAATTAAACTATTAACAATTGATCTGCAAAGCTAAACTATGAACTCGATATGCTTAGCTCAACTCATAATGAACAAATCAACCTGCACAATTAAACTATGGACAATTGATCTGCTAAGCTAAACTGCGAACTCGACCTGCTTAGCTCAACTATTAACTCAATCTGCTTAGCTCAACTATGAACCACTCGACCTGCTTAGCTAAACTATGAACCACTCGACCTGCTTAGCTAAACTATGAACCACTCGACCTGCTTAGCTAAACTATGAACCACTCGACCTGCTTAGCTTAAACTATAAACCACTCGACCTGCTTATCTCTATAAAACTAGTTACATTCATTTTCCTTAATTCTATTACAATTAGATAACTATTCTTTTAGCTTCATATTGATAGCTATTGATATAGTATAAGTTAACTACAATCACAAGTTCTTTTGCTTCGCATCTTGTGTGAATGCAAACCACCTAAATAACCAAACAAAAGTAATGTCAAATTGAGAAATGAACATTAAAAATAAAACTGTCACACAATGCCTCTAAAAGCAATGAAGAAAAATATAAAACCATATATATCTTTACTTATCAATTGATCTTAACATGTAAGTACAATAATGTCCTCAGAACATCTACATCCTCAAGACAGATTATGCAATCTAAAATATATTTGTTGTCAATGTTTTATCTCGTCACGATATGGCTGAAATATTGCCGATGTGACGTTAAATCTTAATTCACTCACTCACTCAAGACAGAAAATGTATTCCAAGCATAACTATTTCATTCTTGAACTGATCGAAGGAAGTTGATTTTACCACAAAGACACGAGTCCATGCGATGAAACAGTCATATTCACTAAACACCAGTCACCTTCATCATCAAGGTCAACCAACACTAGGAGACATAAACACCAAACTTCAAAAGAGACAGAGCCAAAGGTATTAGAGCCAAAAGGGTGGCAAGGTCATGTGATCCTGTCATGCTTCATCAGATGACAATCATATCAATAGCAACATATGCTGAAATATCTTCTTCCAAACTTGCTACTCACTAAGTGACTCAAACAGTGCGATTAATCCTATAAACTAAACACATTTGGGACAAATCCCAAACCAGCATTAAACTGAAATGATTTCACCATTACACCAACTGAACCTGTTTTGTTAATAATCAAATCAGGAGCGCTCCAGGACAATATTTATGATCAAGATTTCAAATAATTTCCTCCTGTGTTGGGACTGTGGTATGGCTATGATCAGCTCGGAGCATTATTTCTCATTTCGATGATTCACTCGAGTTCTAATGGGCCCATAAACCATGAGATGGACCTCAAGCAAGAGGTATAATGTATGGTAACAGTAACGAACTTGCACTTCCCAAGGACCCTAATTTTCTACGATCTTTTCCAACAGCTCTTTTTTTTCGTAAAAAATGTCAAGGTTTATAAGATTTCTACGAAGGCCTCGAGGAAAAGTATATTTACAAAAAGCTTTAGTTCTATTTACACGAATTTCCTTGACTTTGGTGATGAATGTCAAAGTTGATGAACTCATTTCCATGACTTGAAATTGAAGATGGCTGACAAATTCAAATGGTATCCATCACTCCATTTTTCGTCCATTTAATTGATAAGTAAATTTACAATCAGTATGAAAAAGATACACTGCATATTAACTTTTACCAAATAATAAATTCATATTGAGAGTTCTGATTGAATATACCTGCATCAATTAATGTCAACATAATAGTTTTCACCATCAGATGTATTTTTAGCCCTAACCCATAATCAATATTTTCACATCACATCACATCACATCACATCACATCAACAAAATGACTATCAATAACAATCCTTGCCAGAAATGATTTTCAAAAGAACCTTAGCCACAATCTTTATCCTAGTCCATTTTTCATTGCCCTTCTTATTTGAAGCACAGGGCCACCATGCAGACGGCAACTGCTGCACAAAACACATGCGTAGCTGCAACCGACGTATCTGTATGTGGCCACAGAAATCCACACTATCTGTGAGATTGCAGGGTGGTAGGAAATCTGTTCCATTTACTCAGTGTAAAGTTCACTTGACATGAAGGGCAGGTTGATCCAGGAGTGTTCACTTCTTTGTTGCCCGGGTTACACAGTCCACTCAACCTGCTACTCTGAGGCATAGTATAATTAGTCCTACTTTTGTTTGGTTTTACATTTTTCAATTGGTTTTTCCATTTGTATATCTGGTTCATGTGTTACACCATTTGACTCAGAATTGTTTGCAGTTATAAATCTTCAACCTGCGCAGTTGACAGTCAACAACATAGTGTAGTATTGATGTAAATAAATTTGCAGCAAACATTTACTTTTCATCAAAAATCATATTTTCAGCCTGTGGAGAATGGAAATAGTTCAGTGAGAGGCTGAGTTGGGTTGAGTGTGACTTAAATTACATCGTGGTATGTGAGTTTACTGTGGGAGAAAAACACAAAGTGAGGTAGATATAAGATGTTCACAACTGTTGTGAAAGCTACAAGCACCAGGATGGTGCTGACAAACAAAGAATCTCATCAGATTGAAATATGGGATTCGAACCCTTGATTCAACTACAAAGGGGCACAACTCTGCACAAAAGGGACACAACTCTGCACAACAACTACACTTACTTTCCAAGGGGGTTGACACTGGCCTCTATAGATCTCAGGTACTTGCATGCTTTGATGTTGTCAGGGACGTCAATGATACCTGCAAGAACAAAGAAATCATGTAGACTGAGGGCCTAATGCATCAGACACAACCACACATCCAAAGTCTACAGAGTCATGTTATATCCTTGATCAGTCTTTCCTTAGGATTTCAGCTTATCCATATTCAATTACACACTTTAGGCCAGGACAATTGTACAACCTTGTTTTACAGACTGTATTTTACAAAAAGAGGCAGAGAGCAAAAACATACTGGCAGGTTGAAGCGAGTCTATTTTCCCTAAAGCAACTCTGAAAATAATGTCATAACAAAGATGCAGAAACAGATAAATGTTTTCAGACATTTTGTTATCTTTATTGATTTATTTGTGTTTTGGCAATATGAAGGGTAAGTTTTTTTGTAAAACAAGGAATTGAACTGATCTGGCCCCATCAACAAGGAAATATACAATTTTCTTGTCAATACTATCAGTAAGTGAGTTGAACCGTATTTCAATCAGATCAAGGCATCTCAGCTTGGTACTGGAGGAAAGCCCAAAGTGATGCAGGTCTCAGACATTTACCACTTTGGTGAAACCCACAAGCACGGGTATGGTGCTGACAAACCTAAAAATGAGATTTGAACCCATGATCATAGGTTTCCGGTGTGCCAAAGGGACACAACTCTGCACATCGGCTTAGCCGACTGAGCAACCTGTGCCCCCAGTTCACTTATGAGGTTACTTTATCAGTAAGACATCTGAAGTTCCTAAGCTGTTGCTCACACACCGTATTCCATTGCTTACCAATCTATCAAAAACTATATAGCTTCTAATACCACATGTGAATAAAACTCATTTAGATTTATAACCATAAAATGGTGATTTATTATCCAACCATTAGTCCAACAATCCCTCACAACGCTCTCAAATCAAAACGCAATAAAGATATCAACATCTAATCTGCACTTATATCCACCACCTTATGATCGAAAAGAATGCTGAGTCGTGGAAATGTGCATCTTATCTCTGACATCCTAAGCTCTAGACTGCGAAGAACATTATTGATTGGAATTAAGATTTCACAACCCAGGGGTTTAAATAAACATCACTGGCACTGTGCCAACATGACCGGGCTACAAACAAATTGATACTGTGGATTAATCAACATGTTTATTATTCCTGGAGATGATTCTTGTAATCATATATATCTTAATAAGAATATAAATACATTTTGACAAATGTCAGAGGTGTACAATTTGGTTGAACAATTTAAGATCATTTTAGATCATTTTAGATCATATCTACATATCTTTTTTAGTGCAGGTTTCTTAATGTACTTTTTATCTTGTGTTTGTTGCCAGATTGCCAAAGTAGATTATTGAAAGAGTTTCCCTTTTGATAAGAGGAGAAACAAATTAGGAAATTTAGTTAGACATACAAAGAATGTGCTGAAACATCAACATTGGCTTCGAAATTCAAGATTTTTAGAAAAGCATTTTAAAAGATTCCAGAAAAGAAGTACACACTGATTATGATATAGCGACTCCTTGTTTTCAAACTGTTACCCTTTGAACACAAGACATATAGAAGACTGTGGTTTATTCCTTAATTTAAGAAGAGTGAGTTACAAAACTTCATATCAGCTTTGTTTCAGACACTTAATGATGACAACAATTTATGGAATTAAAAAAAACAATACACCAAGGTCATCATTAAAAGCAATCTGTCCAAGATATTTTAGCACAGCAATAATTCTCAATTTAAGGATGTACCGTATTTGCTATATTAAGTACCCCAGTCCAAGAAGTATTTCCTGATCAACTCCTAGACCAATCTGTGAGTAATCCTTAAAAACAGATCGCACAAAGCCTGAAATTTTACACAACAGTCCTTATTTGTGAATATCATAGATTTCTTTACAGAACACACAGCAGTGTAGAATTACTTGACTTGTGTAGGGTTTAAAAATGCCCCCCATTGTCAAACCACAATTTTTATCTTGCAGATCAACAGCCCCTACAAAAATGTCAATTAAAAAGTGGTCAAATGTAACAAATGTAATATTTGATATTACACTTTTTTAGTAAAGTACAAATTCTAGTACTGGGTTGAGTTCCATCTTTCGCATCTTAATTTTCTGTGAAAGTTGAAAAAATCCTTACATTCTTTGAGTGTTTCATCTGCTTTAAAAGCGTTTGAGTGTTCATCAGACTCTTGTGAGGTCCCCAGTAATGCCCTTACATTAACTCATCAATAACTAAACCATGTTCGATACTTAAGTGATTAGGGCTTACAAAACAACTTGACCTTCCATAGTATCTCAAAATGTCAACCCCATGAAAGCAATCAGACAAAAGTCTGGCTCATTATAAAATGGCAGCCTAAGATTGAGACGATTCACCAGCATCTACACCGTTCTACAGCGCCATCTACTGTCAATAACTGCTGTGCACAAAGTCAATACAACCGCACCTCACTCCGCAAAGATCAAAGTGAAGTGCGAGTCATCATGTTCGGACGTAAATGTCGCCACATCCTCAACACCCTGTCAGTGGAGCCATGTTTTCCACCGTTGTACACGCCCCTGACTTAGACCCACTTTTAGGATTTGGGAAACTTTGACTGATTCTTAGTACAAGACGCTGTGCACAGGAAAAGTTGAGTGATGGCGACAGTTGGAATGTTTTTTGTGATCACTACACACACCTGATTAATATAGATTAATTTGGAGAAACTTAGATGGTTAATTTGAACATCTCAAGAAATGACAAAAAGAAACTTTTGGGGGAACCAAAAAATCAAGGAGACATTTTGTCAAACTTTCTTGTACATATATATCATTTCAGTAAGTGTCTCAAAAGTTAAAAAAGAAAAAAAAAGAAAACGAGAGTTTCTCTGACAATGAAATAATGATTCCTCCACAATTTCAGTTTTTCAAATCCCAGTTACATCGCTTTCATATGTTAGTTTCTCCAAAAAAAACTGAAGTGAACAATTAAAAACACACAACGCAGTTGATAGAATTGCACTTGAACTGTACCAGAATTATTCAAAGCATTCAAGAAATCTGTCCGTAATGGAAAACATCCCTTCCTCGCCCATCATCACCGCTTCAGCAAACTCAACAGGCCAAGCCATCCGGACAACACCACTTAGGTACTCCAGCTCAACTCTGTCAGGCCCAATACTGTATTAGGCATGACAAACATTCAGATCACATTTTTTAAATATTGTAGCTGATGAAATACTTGAATATCCTAAATATGTGAAGCATCTAATTATTTAATTACAACATGAAAATAATGAAAACTTCACATGCAAAGGCTATGTTTGTGTGTCATGTAAATAAAGGACACTTGATTTATTATTGTTAAAATATGTAATATGTCGTATGGAAAACATGGTCTCATGAGATGAGTTCCAGGGCAGGATCCATCAAGCTCAGTTAACCTTCTGATTGTTATCAACAGGTCACCAGCAGGTGCACTAATTACTGCAAGGTTGTGGTACTAGTGTAACATACTTATTTCATGAATATTTCATTGATATTAACTGATTAAGATGGACAACATACAGGATAATGATGACAGTATATGTCAATCAATTTGCCAATTTGTCATGGTTCTAGGGATCAATATTAATTACAATGTTCAGCTTCTTTTTTTCTGTGGTAATCAATCATTAATCTCTCGTTATTCATTAATGATTTTTTTTTGTAGTGAAATTACAGTATTTAAGCCTGGGGTTTATGAGAATATCTCTTATTTTCTTTAATGGTCTGGTGGGTGTTTTGTCAGGATTTGTCGTTTGTTTCTACTTTTTAACAAGTAATGTTGATAGTTTTTGATGATATTGTTCCCTGGTAAAGCTTATAATAAAGCACCATGATCAGGCACTAATACATGTATACTCATGGCATGAAAAATAGGAACAGCAAATGAGGAACACGTGTTTCACATGAAATTTTGAGTAGCCCAAAGATAACCAGAGCTTGATTGATAATGGAATACATTTCAATCAGTGACATGTCTTGTTTAGGGAAGATATTATTTCTTGTGAGTTAGTCTTTTTTCTGTGAAAAATTGGTCGACAGGTGGGAATTTTAAAATAATGACAGGATTTTTTCTTTTGTTCTTTAAAATGTGAATATGTTGTCGTGTGTGCAGTGTTAGCTCAGCGTGTTGTGTTATCTAACCTGTGTGTGACCTACTGTTTTACAGTTTATCCTATTGTGTGTACAAATGTTTTGTGGTGAACACAGAAGCTTGCATTCGGCTAAATAAAACAAATTTATTTATTTTTCGCCTTTTTAAAAGATCAGCGTAACCTGGAAACTTATAAAACCAAACGATTTTGCCTAAGAATACTTTTCAAGAGAATACAAATTAAAATGCCCTTTAGTGTTCCTCACATCACAAACTCATCCTACTTGGTATTCTTTCTTATGCTGTGTAGGCTGAGACAATGTTGATATGAGAACCATTTCCAAGTTTTAGTAGGTGAGGTGAGATGAAATGGAGCTCACTTTCAAGATTATTGTGCCTATTTTGCATTGTGCATGCATGTGTGCATGTGTGTGTGTTTGTACTAGCCCGGACAAATGCTGGTTTTATAATGCTAGCCCACTGAGATACCATGCCACAGTTTAGCTTGCAGATCCCACTCTGACACACTGTACAGACTCCATGCTAACTCCAGGCAGGGTAACAACAATTACCATCTTTTGGATATAACATGGCCGGGGACCGAACCATCGACATTCCGCTTCCTGGAGCTCTATCCACTTGTCCACGGTGGTGCCAAGAGTAAGTATCTGCTGTGTTTTCCTTATCTGCGGCTGATTTGGTTTTCACAGACATTTACATTTACACCCCAAGTCAATCTACAATCCCTCATGTGAGAACTCAAAGAAAGTAGAACCAGCGAAGCAGTCCTGTAGCCTGCTACTTGTCCTACTTACCCAACTTCCCTTTACCATTACAGGGTACTTGCTATGACTTACCATTTTTACTGAAGTCCAGTTCCTCTAGGCTGGCAAGGCTGGAGATGGCAGGAGGAATACTCTTGATCTCATTGTCACTGATACTCAGCTTCCGCAGGCCGTGGCAGTAAAAGAGTTCCTGGAAGTCACAACAGAGGCGTTATAAACTATATCAACCCACTGTTATCAGAGCTTCACAATGGAAGCATTATAAACAATATCAACCCACTTTTATCTGAGCTCCTGGACGTCACGACAGAAGCGTCATAAACAATATCAACCCACTTTTATCAGAGCTCCTGGATGTCACAACAGAAGCGTTATAAACAATATCAACCCACTTTTATCAGAGCTCCTGAACGTCACAATAGAAGTGTTATAAACAGTATCAACCCACTTTTATCAGACCTTTGGACGCCACAACAGAAGTGTTATAAACAATGTCAACCCTCTTTTATCAGACATACTGAACGTCACAACAGAAGTGTTATAAAAAATATCAACCCACACTGATCAGCATTGACAACCATCAAACACATGCGCTGCTTCTTAATTATAATGTCAGTCAAATATCAACTAAACTGTCAGCACCATAATAGCACATAACTATATGCTACTGTGTTCAAACCCAACCATATTTGTCCAAAAAAACCATATGTACAAACTCATGCCTCCACGATAATTTTCTATCTGATTACAGTCAAAACGACAGAAGTAATAAGTTCGCTCAAAGCCAAATTCCAAGCGTTCACACTCAAACACCGCAACCAACAAGCCCTGGTGAACGTCAACGTTTACGTAATTAACATGCTTCTGAAAGTTCTTAATTCCTTCCCGCATTTTACACTTCTTTGAGTGGCATTTAGAAGTTGGAATGGTAACTAAAACAAAATTGTTATGGATGAGCAACTTCTTTATTACAATTGGGCGACGTTTCGGTGTAGATTCACGCATTTTACACGACAATAATAATCTATCTACCCTTCCATTTGTGTGTCTATGATCATCTCATCAGGAAGCCATAACCAGGGTGGATCGTTACCATCTGGTGACACAGTCTGACGCCGTTATCACTGCCACTCTCAACATGAACAGTACATACCCTAGCTCTCAACAGTAACTCCATTACAGTGCTGCTAGGTGCAAATCTAATAAGATAAAGGCTGCCGTGATATTAGCCACAATATTGCTGTCTATGCTTTTAAACATACTTCTTGTTGTTTTTTGTTTAACGCCGCACTCAGCAATATTCCAGCTGTATGACGGCGGTCTGTAAATAATCCTAGTCTGGACCAGATGATCCAGTGATTGACATCATGAGCATTGATCCACACAATTGAGATACGATGACATCCATAAACCAAGTCTGCGAACATGACCACCCGATCCCGTTAGTCACCTCTTACGACAAGCACAGTCGCCACTAACGACAAGAATGGGTTGCTGGAGACCTATTCTATCCCGGATTTTCACAGGTCAGAATTCAAGATAAATAACTCAACTATCTAGCCATTGTAATACAGTAAGACATTTATTTAGCCTGATGACTTTTGCACTAACTGTACAAGCAATTATAAGGGAAACCACTACGACACCCTGACCCTGACTCACAATATCATTTGGGTCATACGACCGTTCTGTGTCCAGTCTTGTTGACAAAGAACCAATATATCACAAGTTCATATCACAGTACACTTTAAGATATTACTAGAAAATACTTTCATGACAAGTTTCATGACTTAACTTTTGTAATTTTTAAAATAAACCTGGTGAAAGTTTGAAAAGATAAAATGTTGACAGCATATCAAATGTACCTTCCTCCATGACAGCATTGGCTGATACCTGGGCTCCTATCACAGCGTAATCAGAAGAGCTATGTCTTGTGTCAAAAGCTATCTCTAAATGTTTGTGTGTGCTTTCGCTTTAAGATTAAAAGCAACACATCTCCAATTTAAAATTATTTCTGGCAGTTTGTAAGAGATTTGAATTTCAAAAACTTGGCATCAACCCAGGGATACAGTCCAAGATGGCTTCGTCAAACAACATGATCTGCTGCTAAATATTGGAAACAAACAATTGTCAAACATTTATCTTATGTATGGCAATATATATATATATATATATATATATATATATATATATATATATATATATATATATATATATATATATATATATATATATAAATAAGAATGCAGTGGTATATATTTTAAATTATGCTAACTCACATCATATTACCTTATATCAAATGCAGAAATTTAGACTGAAGTGAAATATGGTGCATGCCACATTGAAAAATATTTCAGACATATTACCCCATGTCTGCTTAATCTTTGAGGAAAGCCAAAAGTGATGCAGGTCTTAGATGTTAACATCTTTGTTGAAACCTACGAATATGTGTATTATGCTGACAAATCCAAGGATCATAACTAAATTGAATTAGGGTTTCAAACAAATGATCATAGGATACTGGTACATCTAAGGGACATAACTCTGCACATTGTAGCACCATAAATAACTAGGCTACCTATGCCCTCCAGATTCATGTGAAAACTTAAAGGAGGAATCTGCTTTATGATCTTGATCTCGTTGTCAAACTGAGACACTGTATGTATGTAATTAGGGAAATCATCCAGTCCTAGTGGGGTGGGGTACCCTAGTGGTCAAAGTGTTCACTCATCACGCCAAAGGCCCGGGTTAGATTCCCAAGATGGGTGGAATGTGTGAAGCCCATTACTGTTGTGCCCCGCCTGATATTGCTGGAATATTGCTAAAAGCAAGGTAAAACCACTCACGTACACACTCAAAGTACTAGATTACTGTAAATTGTAAATATTAGTTCACAGCCAAACAGGTTGAGTTTAATGATTGAATTAAATTTGCTGGGGGCCTGTAATAATCTGAAACAGAAAGTCATGTGTTTTGTTCCTGAAGGCAATGATCTTAGGGCCCCTGGGAATCCGAGGCAGACATCTGTAAACACATCTTCTTGCTGAAGTTACACAAAGTTACAAAGAATAAGGAAACAAGACGTGGTCCTTGTAGCCTCAGGCCTTCACTTTGAACTTCCGACATCATCAAATTTTCAATATTATCTATTGTACCGGGTACCTCAAACAGTTTTCTGATACTATCAGCAAAGAATAACATCCTACCCCTATCATCAAACACAACAGCATGAACTAAGACAATGAATGAAGGTGAAACTCAAGATGGCCGCCAGCAGTGACCATTTACGTCTGCCAGAAACCTCATTTTAAGCATCAGCTTGAGGACACCGTCATCATAAGATTATTTTGACAAGTGTCATCACACGTTCCTGACTATCTGGTCTGATCAGGGCACTGATGGGGGCATTTCCTGAAGATCAGTATCACTTTCGGTCACTTTCAACTCAAACAAGTGTTGAAGATTGGGATCTGCCCAGGGGCCTATGGACAGTCACTGTGATGTGGTATAAATATGTCCATTAAAATAAAATGCAAATGAAAAGTAAAGGCAGTAGAGGTATAATAAAAATTATATGCTGCGAGAAATGAGATACATTTATTTTTAATTTAAGTTGCCCTGTTCAGCAGTTGCTAAGTTGGAAGTACTCCCCAATCTCATAAAATGTGTAAACTTCTTAGATGTAAAACACTTATGTAATTTTTGACACATATAAATAACTCCTTCATAAATATTTAAACTTGAGAAATGATATTTGAGAATATTTTGACATCCAGCCATGTTCAAAACATATGGGAGATAAAAAACTCAGAAGTGGGAATGCAGGAGTGTCACAGGTATATTTTAAAAAAATTATTTGGCAGTAATAAGAACTAGTGCAGCTCACATAACAATAAAAACAAATACATCAAAATGCATTGACAGTCTATGTTTACATCCCTTAAACAGTTGATTAAAAGTAACACCAAATAACCCGACCCCATCAAAACTCCTTTCCCCCCCCCCCCCCTTTATCTCCCCCCAACCCCTACCACCAGCTAAAGAACACCTCTTACAACAGGGTCAATGTACATCTAGTATGCATAACAAACAGTATTCACCAGTCTATTATGACCTCGATCTACCCTCACCCCACATCCACCCGCCCCGCCCCGCCCCTCACGTACAAATCACCTCCCACAACAGGGGGCAATGTACACACAGTGTGTATATCAAACAGAATCATAACGACCCCTACAGGACCTCCAGGATTGCAGCATATGATAAAATGACCTCCACACCCCGGGGTTGGCGTCCCCTCGTGAGAACCGAGTATCTGTCCCGTGTCACAGACTTATGCCCTTCTTTACCTTACACTCACGCGGGACTATCTACAAACTTGTTTGTATGCATTTTTGACAAGTACGTGCTGGGGCCGAGAACAATGGCTGCTTGTAGTCCCATACCTATGTGTACTGTCAGAGAGCGATGAAACCAATCCTAGCAGGGCAAAGAGAAACATGGAACTGTGTTGACTGGAGTTAACCATGCACAAAACCTACCTGTGGGGACACAATAGACTATCATGTCTGGCTATGTGATACCACCTCGGACTGGGCTACCTAACGAGATTATGGTCCGTTATTGCCAATCCAGCCATAGAAATATGTTACACACATAACAGTATTACCCTGTGTACATAACTGTTGTGTTTTCTTCGTGGTTGGTCATAATCAAATACTGAACCCAAACCGAAAACTGGTGCCAAGCCAGAAGGCTTCCAGACAGAAAACTGGTGCCAATCCTGTAGGCTTCCAGACAGAAAACTGGTGCCAATCCTGTAGGCTTCCAGACAGAAAACTGGTGCCAATCCTGTAGGCTTCCAGACAGAAAACTGGTGCCAATCCTGTAGGCTTCCAGACAGAAAACTGGTGCCAAGCCAGAAGGCTTCCAGACAGAAAACTGGTGCCAATCCTGTAGGCTTCCAGACAGAAAACTGGTGCCAATCCTGTAGGCTTCCAGACAGAAAACTGGTGCCAATCCTGTAGGCTTCCAGACAGAAAACTGGTGCCAATCCTGTAGGCTTCCAAACAGAAAACTGGTGCCAATCCTATAGGCTTCCAGACAGAAAACTGGTGCCAATCCTGCAGGCTTCCAGACAGAAAACTGGTGCCAATCCTGTAGGCTTCCAGACAGAAAACTGGTGCCAAT